CCATAGTTCCAGGTTTTCCTAGCAAAATAAGGAAGCTGACCCGTTTTTAGGCAAAATTAAGAAGAAAGCATGGGTTCATTGTATCGGAGCGAGCCTATGTCACGATGCCAACTTTTCCTGCACTCTGACACCGTATTCGATGTAGTAGCCAAGCTTGGCGAACTGGGTCTTGTTCAGTTCATTGATGTAAGTGAACAATTTTTTATGGTGCCTCAAACTTTTTTGCTGCTCTTTTATCTGCTGCTTGCGTCTTAAATAGCTGGTTATAAAATTCATTCCGTGTGAGGGTCAGTATTAGCGAGTGTTTGGCATGCTCCAATTCAACCCGGTTGTGAGATTCCGTACATGACGACGATGTTGATCGATGCGGTAAAAAAGAAAAATCTGAATCTACGGATCTGTTTCCTCGCAAATTTGAAGCTGTTTGCTACCCATCTCAGCTCTGTACGTTACTACGACGCGTACTGACCTGGCACTCTTCAGCTGAGTTGATTTCTGAATTTTTAGATCTTGAATCCCTATGTCTCGTGTATAGATTTGCTAAACAGCGCCCAACAAGACGCAGCTAGCTCATACGCGCTTAAATCTTAGTACGGACTCTCAAAAAAATATGCAAATTTCTTGAGCGTGAATCGATTCCGTAATCTAGACAAAACGGAAAGCCGAAACTCTGCAGTGGTATTCTCTGTGCATGCACGAGCTAAAGATTTCAATTTCAGCTATTGCCCATATTTACAGCATGCATACAATCACGTCAAATTTCGCAGAATGGCACTGTGCAAACTCGAAAGCTAGCCGAAAAGCAGTAGCTGAAGTTCTGTCAGAATACTGTTCGCACAGAAAATTGTACACATAAATAGGGTTGCGATTTGCACTTGCGCTACGACTTAAACCACTTCAAAGACATTTGTAGCGAGTTGGCTGTTTCGCTTACCAGACAAGCAGTGAAGCTGAAACTTTGCAAAGATATTCTATTTTCAAGTATGGTCTTGATTCGGTTTGGAGGTGAAATTTCCTGCACGCAGACATGACAAATACTCTATTTTATCGCAAACTCAAAGGCGAGTGCGTCTTGTAGACTTCATAATCCTCTTCCGACTTCCTTCAAATTTGTACTTTTTTTGAGTGAGTGAACATTTACCGGAAAAACAACCGGGCTTCATGCAAACCCAGTCTGAAAGGTACCAGGCGAGCCGGTGCGATCACACATTTTTGCACCAAACTTGAAATAATTAGTTTAACTGCATGAGTGGCTGTTTCTTCACACCTCTCTTATGCGCTCAATGCCGTAAATCACCGAAAATTTTGCGTAAACGAAAATAAACAATTTTTGTTTAGCGGTCGTTTTTTGAAAATGGCTTAGCTGTTCAAAGAGTAATTTTCTCGCCAAAAGTTTAAGCGCCCATACACGAGAACCACGTGTACCCGAAGGCTGGATTTAAATCCTTCAAGTTGTATTTGAGCGGGGAATATTCTCCTAAAGTCTCTGCTTTTCAGCTTTACTGGTTCCCGAGCTAGCATTTTCCCGCCACAAACTTTCACGAGCCCGCACGTGACCTGGAGACATACCTGAGGGCTAGGTTTGAAATCTTTAAGTTTTTCATGGATTCTAAACATCTTAAAATTTCAGCCTCCCAGCTTTCCTGGTCCCGAGTTAGTCGTTTTCCTCCCAAAAAAATTTCATGGGGATGTAAATGAGAACCACGCATGCCTGGGGGCTGAATTTGAAAACTTTAAGTTGTATGTGGGCTGGGGACATCCCTCTGAAAATTTCAGCCTCCCAGCTTTCCTAATCCCCGAGTTAGCCATTTTCCTGCCAGAAAATTTCACGAGGCCGTAAGCGAAAAGCATTCACGACTAGGGGTTGGATTTGTTGTTGTATTTATGCTGGGAGCATCCCTCGGAAATTTTATTCTCCCAGATTTCCTGGTCCCCAAGTCAGCGGTTTTCGCGTCAAAACTTCCACCCTGTCGTACGCGGAGCGTAGACTTGTGCGAGGGTTCGTACCGCGGTCCTGGGGTGACACTTGACCGGAGATCCCACTGACAAAATTTTGGTGCCGAAGCTTGCTTGATTAGCGAGTTGAAATACCCGGACAGATGAACACACACACAGGGTCGTCGCAATATTCGTGATTTGCGCATAATCGAAAACGCATAAAAACTGATAATCGTACGCTCTGGAAGTTCATATGGCTCCATGACACAACACCTTCATCCCAGCCGGCGCCTCATCCTTCTGTGTAAGCAGGCCAAAACACAGCTAATATGCGTCCAAGCATTCAGTTACAGCACAAGAGCCATTCCTGCTGTTAAGAATCTGCAAGTTCAGCGCAAAAATGCATGTTCGTAGCGGTAAACCTAGTGCGTTTCAGCCTTAATTTTACATTCTAAAGATAAAATGGAATAACTTATAGGATGTAAAATACTATTTCAGTTAAACCCGGAGCGAAGTGCATTCCAAAGACGCTTTATGAACGAATTAAAACGATGCGATCAAATGGCTGGAAAGCTGAGTATGTACTGTTATTATTTGATTATTGATGAGCTTCCACGTTCTGTTTGTCGCTGGTTTAAGATTGGCTTCATAAGAATCGTTCAGAATGCATCGAGCGGCAGATACTCATGGATGGAATTGTGATACCGGAAGTCAACGAATTTGTTCCTGCTCCATTCCCAAGCGAAATGAACACCCTTGAGGTAACTACTGCACAAACAAGTAAATTTTTTTGCTGGACAGCAAGCGGCTCTTTAATAGCTAAAAGAGTCTACCAGTCTTCCAGCTCTCTGTAACATAGTGTGGGGATTCGCCCAACACAAAATAACAAAGAAAATAAATAACGAGCAGAAATTATAAATTTATATTACAGAAGTTATAAGTGATTATAAGTAAGAAATTACAAGTAACAACAAAGCAAATGTTCTGCATTTCGCAGTTCGTTGTGGAATGACAGTATGAGATGACTGAGTTAGCAACAGCACCGACTTGAGAAGTACACTTTGCTGCTATAACTTTTTGATTCAGTCCTTATTCATGAAATATATAATTTTTAATGTTTATTCCGTTTTGGAACTTCAGTATTTTGTATGCACCTTGTAATATAAATTCTTAGGCTGTGAAACAATATCGAAGCTGTTTTCAGGTTCTTTAATTCCTACTTTTTTGTAAAACAAACTTTTCTATGATTCATTTAGCTTGATATTTCACGTAATGCTTCAGTTTTAGGAGTCTAGCTCCAGTTCCAAAAAAGTCTCAGCATCAGTTTCCAACGGATTAGATCTACAGTCCCAAGTAAGAATGCCCAAATGCTTTGAAGCTAGTGCTGAAGTAGATACCATGCCTTATGCACTGGACTGTTTGACAATCTGAGTGCCTACATTTTATTGCTGCATAATTTCGCACTACCACTGCAAGTAGTTAATCCGGCTTCCGAGAAGTGCTGTACAAGCAACAAACAGGCGATGGTTACCAGGCACGTTTAGGCTTTTCACTGCATCACCGATGCTTTTCACGGTTCCTGAAGGATCCATCGTCAGCACCACCATGGTGAAAACGATTGCCTAAAAAATACAGCCACTAAGAAATGTAGAAAAGAAAAGGCTAGCTGTGACGCAGAAAGTGGTGGGTCAGCGGATGCTTGGGATTTTTCTTTGCAGCCCTGCGAAAAGTTAAACATTCATCAAATGAATTATCAACGTGCAAATATCTTTGTGACTGCGTAACTGAGATCTGATGGGAGCGATTTGTTGTTTGATTTGGTGTTAAACTGGACGTTGTTTGTTAGGAGTGGTAATAAAAAGAAAAAAAAAA